GTGCCAGCACCCCTTTACCAAGAATGTGGCAGGGGGCCCCGCCTGGAAGGTGCGTGGGGGGTTAACAAACCTAAATGCAAGTGATGTCCAATAAGAAGATGCCAAGAAGGAGCCACGCCCTGGCGTCAAGGCCTTTCCTCCCTTCCCAGCCTCCCTCCTGCCTCAGGAGCCCCCCAGGTCGGCCAGTGCCTGAGTGCCCGGCCCCTGCCTACTCCTGCAGGTTCCCCTGGGCTCTGAACCCAAATCCTGTGACGGCTGTGGAAGGGGCAGGGGAGGCGGCCGTGCAGCTGCCCTGGCGGATCCACACGAGTCCCTTTCCCCTCGCAGGAGGAGCCCATGAGTGCGGCCCAGTGCCGGTAGCGGCCTCTGCCTCTTATCTTCCCCATGTGGCCGGATTTGCATCATTTTCCCTTGTGCTGCATTTACTCCTCTGTTGCTTTGTCCACCATGTACAAAACTCACCAGAGGTCACGATTTATGACTGACTTGGAAAGAAAAGTGATTAAGGGCCATGAAAGTGCAAAATCAGTTACGGCGATTGCTGGCCATTCCGGCCTGCCCCGTTCCAACAGAGCGACAGCCCTGAAGAGATGGAAGCTGTGATGAAAACCCTGTGTGAGCTGGCACAGTGAGGAACCCGAGGCCTTCAAGCACATGAACAGGCACACACAGACAGCCCACCACAGGACACTGCCATGCAGTAAGAGGTCGTGGTGGCCCAGCTTCTCTTGAATAGCTCTGACAGTGACATGAATTATTGTTTGGAGAACAGTACCGTTCAAGGTTTTGCTTATTGTTAATGCTCCTGGAAATCCTCCTTTTATTAGTGATCTTTGTCCCAATATCAAAATGGTGTTCTCCCTCCAGACACCCCCTCTTTGGTCTGGCCTCTAGCTCCCAGGATCTGTTGCCCGGGATATTGCTGCAACTGAGAAGAGGTTGATGTAATTCTGGAAGGATCACAACAGCTATGACTGCATCAAGAACCTGGCTTGGGGTGATGTCACCCAGGAGTGTATGAGTAGCGTGTGGAAGAAGACTCTCAAGGGGGAGTGAGGGGTTGTCCATGATCTCAAAGTATTTGCCAAGAATGAGGGGGTTGCAAAAATCAACAAGGTTGTGAGATAACAAGCAACTTTCATCTGGGTGTGGATGAGGATGACAGGAATTGGCTAATGAGTTGTTGGAACTGCAGCAGAAACGGAAGAAGCAAGAGAAACTGCAGGAGACAGGATAAAGAACCCCAAAGAAGAGTCACAGTGAAGAGAATCTTCACAAAAGCTCTTGCAGACCTCAACAGTTCCTTAAACAGTTTAAAAACATGGATCCCAAAACAGAAAGATTTTCATGAATAGAATGTTTAAGGTACATGATTTTCTTACAAGCAAATCTATGACGACAGAAACAAACCAAGCAAACCACCAAGGACGCATTTCTGAAAAGTGCCACACCTCCTTGAGAGCCTCAGGCCGTCCCTCCAGGCAGATTCCAGAAGAAGGTTTTGTCATCATGACAGTCCCATGCAAGGTCTTTCCCCTGAAGACACCCCAGGGGGACAAGATGTGGAGGTGGGGGACAGTGATATTGAAGATTCCTGCCCTGTGTAGGCCCAGGCTAATATGTGTGATTATGTCTTAGTTTTGAGACACAGGGCAAGCTAGGGTTATTAGGCAGTTTCAGGGACAGTACAGGAGGGGACCTCTGAAGAATTTAGGGAGGCTTCAGAGATAAGGACAACCAAGGAAATATAACCAATTCCATTAGGAAAAACAAACACCCCAGGACCACGGACAATATTAATACTGTTAACGATGGTCCTGGTTTTCTTCAGGTGATAAAGGGAGGTGGAGACTAGAGAAATGGAGAGTGGTTTAATGTATGGACAACTTAGAAGGGCAGCTGTTTAACTTCAATGTAGAGATGCTCACCCGGAGGACTAGGCCATAAAGATAAAGTGTAGAGATGCTCACCCGGAGGACTAGGCCATAAAGATAAAGTGACAAGCATGACAAATGGGGAAAGGGAAAGCTGTTGGATAAGGAAGGTGAAATTTCCCCACTTAGTAAGTGTGAGACCCCCTGAGAGTTAACCAATCAGGGAGAGAGAGAGTAAAATTTAAACATAATGAGGAAGAGAAAGTATATATTGCCAAAGTAATATCCCTCACAGGCTCATCTTGGCCCCTCCCAGGTACTTTATACCTGGGAGTCTTTCTTCTTTGTCTCTTTTCTTCCTAAATAAACTTTTCTTTCAAAGGCAAGATTTGTCTCTCTCTGCTTACTTACTCCAAAAAGTCTGTGAATTCCTTTCTAAGGTTTCACGAGACAAGAACTCCTGGTAAAGCGGCAGCAGTTGTTACACATGCCGGCATCAGTTTTTAACAAAAAAGTTTAAAAAGTAAAAAACTAAAAATAGCAAAAAGCTTATAGAATAAGAACATAAATAGTTTTCTGCAGCTGCACAATGTTTTAAGCTAAGTGTTACTATAAAAGCTAAACAAAAATTATAAAGTTTGTGAAGTTAAAAAAGTGACAGTAAGCTGCATTAATTTATTATTTAAATAAAAATTTATTGAAAAAAAATTTAATAGATTTACGGTAGCCTGAGTGGACAGGGTTGATGAAGTCTACAGTTGTGCACAGGAGCATGCAGGCCCTCCTGTCCCTCCCTCATCCTCACTCATCACTTCTCACCTTCCTGTGTTGCGATTTCCATTCTTGGTTAAGTGCCTTGTCTAGGCGACCGTTTTGTTTTTGGGTTTTTTTCCCCAATACCCTATTTTCACTATACTTCTGCTCTGTCTAGATACCTTAAAATACACAAATACCATTGCATTACAGTTGCCTCCAGTGCTCAGAGCAGCGACCTGCTGTGCAGATTTGCAGCCTCGGGGCAACAGGCTGGATCACACAGCCTGTGTGTGCAAGGGGTGGACCATCAAGGCTCATGTGATTATGCTTTACGACGTTCACACAATGACAAAACCACCTCGTGATGAATTTCTCAGACTGTATCAGTCATTAGCATCTCATGATTGCAGGGGGCTGTTCAAATTTTCCTTTTCCTCTTGCATATTTTTGAACAAAGTGTTTTTCTAGCAAGTTTTCTATTTAATTACAATTCTCAAGTTTATTGGTCTAGATGTAGCCTTGTATGCTCTTTTTAATGCCCATAGTACTTTTAGTGATGTCACTTTTATTACTCTGTTAATTGCTTTCCTTCTTGATCTGTCTTTCCAGGGCTTACTCAATGTATGTGTCTTTTTTTTTTTTAATATTACTGTTATGGATCCTCTCTTTTGTAAATTTCTCCCTTCTATTTCCTTCCTTCTATAGTTTTTTGGTTTAACCTTCTTTTTCTAACTTTTTTTTTTTGGTGGGACCCTCGCCGGTGGCCAGGGATGGAACCGGCGCTGCAGAGACTGCGGGCAGCCTCGCAGCCCAGCGCTCAACCGCTGCGCCACCAGGGGAGGCCCCTTTTTCTAACTTCTTGAGGTGTATATCGATATCAGTGATTTTTCATCCTTTCTTTTTTTTCCCTCTAATAGATGAATTTTGGGGCCATAGAGTTCCCTCTATATTTAAGTGCATTTCAGAATTTTGATAGGCTCTATTTCCATTATTATTCAGTTCAAAATGGTTCTGTCAGTCCATTGTGACTTCTAAATATTTAGAAGTGCACTGTCTAAGCATTGCAGTTATTTAGCATATAGTTGATACACAGCTGATTGCTCAAAAGAAACAATGACAGTTGGAAGAAATAAAATAATGTCTTCAGAGTGCTGAAAAGAAAACAATTGCTAATCCAGTATTCTATACCCAGAGAAAAAAAATCCTTTCTATTCAGTGCGCTGTCTCCATAGGGGCAGAATTGGATTAGCCCTGGGCTCTGTGTCTGTCACTGAGATGTACGGAATCCTGGGTACATTAACTGCTTGGGCATCATCGTAGCACTGAGGGCCTTTCTATGGACAGGTCCTTGATCCTTCTGTTAGACTTGAAGTAAAGGTTAAACACACATTCTTGCTTTAAACACATCAACACCTGAAGGCAGGCTTTTGTGTTAAATGAAATCTCTGTTCTAATTTTGTTGCCCTGCTGCCTGTCCTGGAGCTGCCTAAGTGTTGTTCCACCATATTCCCTCTGAGCGGCTGAGCTCTTTTCTGGAAATCCACCCCCACGCTGTGCTCTCACGGGCAGCAGAGTCCCCCTCAGGAGCCCTCCAGCAAGGCGCATTTCCCTGAGGAAGAAGTCACCAAGGCCCTGGCACCGGAGCTAGTTTTAGGAAATGCATATGAAAGCTCCTCAGCTGAAATCCCCGCTGGGGTCCACAGGGTTAGAAGACACTTTCCCCAAGGAGGCGGGCTCTGTTCAAGAACAATCCATCTCCCGCTAAGGAACAGCCGGCAGACACTGTCTCCTGTGGAGCAACTGCGTGTCCAAAGCTCCACAGGGCGGCGCGGCGGCCATTGAGACTGTCCTGCGCACACGTAAAAGCCTCGCAGGGTCACTCGTCTACTGACCGCGTCCTGGGAGCAGGGTGAGCCCCCGCTCGGACCGCGGGGCCCGGCAGCCCCGGACGCTCCCCGCGGGGCCGCGCCCCGGCTCCCAGGCCCCGCTCCTGCCGCTCCTCTCCGGCTGCGCCGCCGGGACGCGGCCCTCGGGCCCCTGCCCCGCCGAGCCCGCCGGCCCCTCCGCGGCGCCGCTACCCGGCCGAGCCCGGCGCCGAGCGCGCCCCGCGACGAGGCCGGGTGGGCTCTGCCCTGCGGGCGGCCCGGGGTGCCCCGCCCAGCGCCGCCGCCGCCCAGGCGCTTCGGGCCCGGCTTCAGCTCCCCCACAGCGGGGCGCGGCGGCCCGGGACGGGGCGGCCGAAGGGCCTCGCGGCTTCGCCCCAGCACCGGGCGGGGGCGTCCCGCGGGCACCTCCGTCCGGAACCTGAAGTCCCGGCCCGGGTTTCCGCCCGGAGCGCGCCCGCCGACCTCCCGGAAGCCGCGCCCGTTGCCGGGGTAACGGGCCCGACGGCCGCGGGGCGGCGGCGCGCGATGGACCTGGAGGAGGCGGTGAGCGGGCCGCGCGCCGGGCGCGCCTCTCGGCGGGCGGGAGCGGAGCGGAGCGGGCGGCGGGGAAGAGGCCGGAGGCCGCCGCGGGCTGTGGGGGCGGGGCCGCGGGGCGGGGCGGGGCGGCGCGGCGGGGGCGGCCGAGGCTGGAGTTTCTGGCCGGGCGAGGCGGTGGGGAGGGGAGGGAGGGGAGGGGGCGCTGTCTGTCGGTCCGCGGTCGCGCGCCCCCGGCCCGCGGGCGGGGCGTGGGGGGCCACCCGCTTGGCTCATCCTCTCCGAGGACCACCCGCGAGGGCCGGCGGGGCCTAGGGAGGCGGGGTTGCACCTGCGGCGCCCGAGCAACCCCTGCGAGTCCTCGGGGGTCCCCCTCTCCCCTCCCCACCCCCCATCTCCATCTCCGCCCCCGTCCGGGCCAGGGATTCAAAATCTGGGCCTGGGGCCGGCCTGGGTCCCCGGCTGTCGGCGCGGGGTCGCCGGGAAGCGCCGTCCCCCTGCGGGGATTCTGTTGACGCTCAGTTTTGACGCGCTGCGCCCGCGGCCCCGGCGGTGGCGGCGCTGACGGGCCCGAGACGCAGCTCGGCCGCGACGGGCGGGGCCTCGCGGGGCGCTCGCGCGGAATGGGGGTCCCGCGGGGGTCTGCGGCGACCGCCGGGCTCCCGAGGTCGGAACCGCGACCCCGCGGCCCGCGCTCCTGAGGAGGCGCCTGTCGCGGCCTCGCGCCCGGCCTGACGCCCGCGGCGCCGGGGAGGGGGGAGGGGGGAGGGGAAACCTGACGCGACCCTAATAAAGTCTGTTCCCTCGGCGGAGAGCCTGTGTTTTCAGTGTCCCTGACACGGTTCCAGGTGGTGTACGCTTTGTTTTTTTTACGTTTTCTCAATATTTAAATTTTGTCACAGCATTTTTGAGGCGCTGTGTTCACTCATCCTTTTTCCACTTTACGTTATCGCCTTCCCCCCTTCCACAGGCCCCGTTTTAGTGACTTTCATAATTTAATTCCGGTGCAAGCTGGTCAGAGACTGAACTGTTCTTGTTTATAGATAATCTCATTCGTGTATTTCCATTTTCTGTAATTTTACATATTGCTATGATTTCATATATTTCTGTTTTCCCACAGCTTGTAGGGGAAACAATTGCAGGGAGCCCTCTAGGTAGAACTTCAGGGTTTAGCGCAATGTATGAAATGTGGTTTGATGTTTGATAGTAACACTTTCCTGTCTTCCGTAGAGAGAGTTCCGAGAACGCTGTACCCAGTGTGCTGCAGTCTCTTGGGGTCTCACGGATGAAGGCAAATATTACTGTACTTCTTGCCATAATGTCACAGAAGTAAGTAACAGATCTCATTTGTGAATTTGCCTATGTTTAAAAGGTTACCGGTTCGGCCTGTTATGTGGCATTGTTCCCAAAGAATTAATCCGTTTTTATCACCCAGGTAGTGCTCATGTTCCAAGAACATAGGGAGTCTTCAGGGGTTTATATATGTGGTCATGGAATTTGTAAATGAGATTTAGTGTGAACTCTTGAGATTATGTATAAATGATTTCGTGATTCAGACTGTGTAGTCTAAGGGAAGATAATTAAAATTGGACTTAGGAGATGATGCATTTCTTTTTATCTATTAATACTTATTTAAGTTTTTAATATATTTTGGTAGCTTAGAGGTTTGGAGGATAGAAGTTTAGAAAAATTGAGGATGATTGAATATCTACAAATGCTCTATTATCATTTTAGCTTTTATAGATTACAAAGTGTTTTTTTTACATGTTATTTCATTTTCTACAATTAGCATTCTCTTATAATCATAAAAATCCACTAAGCTCACACAAATCTAACCTACACCTTTATTAAAATTAACAAAAACTTACAATAGCTGTTGTCTAAACTGGCTAAATTTAAGACCTAGAATTTTTTTCTGAATAAAATACACCAAGATAATTTTCTAATCCCGTTACCAATTTGAAGGCCTTTCCCCAGGTTGCAGAGTCTGGGGTGCAGAGCGTGAGGATCTCATGCAGAGGAAGGAGGCGTACAAGGCAAGGCCACTGCCGTGCTTGTCAGTAGGTGGGGCCAGTAGGCTCAGGAGTTGTGAGTTTGGCACAGCCATGGTTTACAGTGTTGAGCCGGGATTTGAGCTCGAGCCTTCAGACTCCAGCGTTCATGCTACCATCCCTGCCTCTTCCAGTAGGCTGTCACACTGCCCGGGTAACCTGGGGAAGTGAGGCGCTGTTCACAGTGGGCTGCTGGGTCCTCTGCTGGTTCCCACACCTTCAGGGCAGTACAACCAAAATAAGGGTGTGGACAGCCAGCCCTTGGACAGGCTAACCAAGCCAGGACTCTTCTTTCTGGAAAAGGAGCTACTCAAAGTCTATAGAGCCAGGAAGAAACAAACTGTTACCTTCACCACATGGGCCTAAGATAAGGCAAATATGGGACAGACAAAGTAGCTGTGAAGACTTTGGCCTCTGCCCAAGGTGGGGTAACAGGGACCAGATTTACCAACCTAACTTAAAGAGCTAAAATCCTGGGTGAAAATAGATGAAACAAGTTCAACATTTCCCCTTTAGAAAAGTGGTTAATTGAACTTGCAACTCCATTTACACAAGAAGCTTTTCTTTGAGACTGTCATTGTCCTTCGGCCTGTAGTTGGAGTACTTATGTCTGCTTCCCATTTCTTAGTTACACTGAATATTAAAAAGTTCTCAGATTGCTGGGGTGATGGATATGTTCATTATTTTGATTATGACCATGGCTTTGTGCATACACCACACCCACATCAGGTTGTACACTTTATTGTGTGCAGTTTAGCCTCTGCTTTGCTGCCTGTCAGGACACTAGCAGTCTCACTCACCATTGCTTTTGTAGCAGCTGTGCAGATGTAAACACAGCGATAAAAAGTGGGTCTGACTGAACAGTTGCCACTAGCAGAGCTTACAATTTTATAGAAATTAAAGCACATTACTTGCTTCTAATAGCTCCCCTGTGATAATGTTTCTGTTTCATTCTGTCTGATAAAACCTGCAGCAGTCACTTTTTAACTTGAAAGTGCCCAGTACCACTGCCTTGACCCACATTTGAAAGACTATCAGCCTGTGTGGACTCACTTATTGAGAATGCAGCACTTTGAGGATGGGCAGCATCTTACATGGGCCAAGATCTTAGCTCGGTGACTTCCATATAACAGGCAGCGCTTGTGTTGCCCAACTTCAGTGGTTCCTCTTGGCGTGATGGCAGTGCAGGTGTATTGGGGCTGCCCGTTGTGTGGTGCTGTGCAGAGCCAGGCCCGGAGTGCCTAGGAGGCAGCGGTCATAACAAAGAGTGGCAGTCATGGTGCAACTTTCCCATTTCTCTGCCCCTTTCCTTGCGCTCCTCCTTCCTCTGCATGTGATCCGCACCCTCTGCTCCCGAGACTCTACAGCCTGGGGAAAGGTCTTCAAATGGGCAACCGGATTAGAAAATTGTTTTGTTGTATTTTATATAGGAAAAAATTCTAGGTCTTAAAACTGGCCAGTTTAGACAACAGACATTGCAAGTATTTTGTGAATTTTAATAAAGGTATAGGTTAGACTTGTGTGAGTTTAGTGATTTTTATGATTATAAGAGCAAGTTTATTGTAGAAACTTTGGAAATTATGAGGATGAAAACCAAAATTACCAATCATCTCAACAGACAATATTTCAGTAGTTTCCTTTCAGTTTTTTCCCTTTGTGGGGAAGGAAGAAGGGGTAGGTGAGGACTAGTGAATCTTTTGTCTTAATGCGTTTTCTTCCTGTGCTATTCTAAACATTGTAGAGATTTTTTGTTGACTAAACTATTCAACAATGTAACTATATGCTATTTTAATTAATGAGAAGTCCAATTTTAGATTGCTAGCTTTTTCTCTCTCTTAGCCATTTCACTTTTGTCTAGTCCAGATTTTAAGTCTTCGTTCTTGCCTACTGTTCCGTAAGTTTTATCTGCTTTTGCTGGATGACGGCTTTGGTGTGTATTCTGGTAAGTCTTAGGTTCGCACTGTGGTCAACTGCTTTGCATATTGTACCTGGAACTAGAGAGAACATGTTCCAAAACTCCTGTTGCTAGGGACTTTTTATTCTTATGAAAGTTGAAGATAAATTTCATTTCTAGTCTCTGAATTTAGAGAACATAAGTATTCTCTGTTGATTAAAAATCTTGTCCTTTCTTTCACCATTAAGATTTAATACTTTCATTTTTTGGTTGTGAGAGAACCAGAACCTGAGGTGCCAGCCCTTGAGAATACTCGGAACTGAAGTCTTTGGGTCTGAGTCGCCCTTGAGTCATTGCAAAAACCCTGTAGATTTGATGAAAATGAAATGGCACCTGTTTTACAGAATTACTAACAAACACACAGAAAAGTAGGGCAACTCTGATCTACGTGTAGCTTAGGCATTGCTCATTACAATAAATGCAGAAATTATTTTAATTTCAAAGTGTGTTTTGGGTGGAGAAAAAGGGGATAAATTTGCCTTTAGGGTTGATTTGAAAAGTTACAAGGTTATTTAAAAATAAAAATGTACTCATTTGATGAACATTTATTTAGTGTTTGCTATGTTCTGGGCACTGTTTTAGGAACTAAGAAACTTTGAATGAAAAAAAAGTAAACTAAGGGTTAACCAGAATGTTATCATTTGCGGGAGTCTCCCAAACTGTTTAGGTGGCTGATCCTGCTCTCATGGTTTGGTTCGTGACACTTCCCAGGGCCTGCTTGGAAATGCCTTAGGGAGCCATAAAGCTACCTTTGTGATGGGCCCTTTCTGTTTCCTGCAGATATCAAAGGAAGTGCTAAACACGGGGGCTATCCCCAATACTAAGATACAGGCCATCAACAGAGGGCTTAAAAAGAAAAGAAAACTTGGTAAGTTTTTTCTTTGTATGTGCTTGTAGCATTCCTTAGGCACCTTTCTGCCTTCATGATTTGAAGATGTGGAGTGGAATTTTAAATAGATTCTAGAGAAGTTGTCAGAATTTTAAGCAGGTAATCCAAAATCAGTGCTAAGACCAAAGGCTGTGTCTGGCAGCAAGTCCTCCTGCGTCCTGCCTTATGTTGCGGGCTTGCATTTCCATTGGAGCAGCTGTTATCAAAAAATAATAACAGCAGAAGGCACATATGTTCTTTTTGACTGTTGGCATATGCTTTCTGTTCTTTGTTGCCTATTATGAATAGGATTTTCTGTGCTTTTTAAAGAAAAATGCTTATTTTGCAAAGTGACGCAACTATGAAGTGTCAGGTTAGGTGAGTTAAACACGATACTCAACTTTCAGAAATCCATTTCTTACATTGACTTTTGAACACACCCTTTTCAAACAGGGAATATTATTTTTCCTTCAAATAGCCTCAGCATGAATGTGCTTTGAGAGGTAATCAGTTTCTTTAATCCAGTGAGTACATGTAATTAACCATTATTGCAAAGCATCTGAGGTAAAGTGTAACTGATGATTTTTATTTCTGGGAGTAATTTCCTAGGAGTGTATTCTTAAGTTTAGAACCAGGCTAATGATGATGGTGGACTCTTCTACATAAGATAGCGTTAAGGATGCACACACATGAAATAAATGAATGTCTGTGTTACATATGTATGCACACATATATGAAGTATATATAAAATATCTATATGAAATAATTCTTAGGTGAATAGAGAATGCCTCAATGTGACTTTTTCATTAGGCTAAAGCCTTAATTTTAATGGATTTATTTTGGAGTAATAGATTAATTCTCATCAAATTTTTTTTAGAGTAGAGCCTGATTAATTTTGATTTGACCTATTTAAATAATTAAAACATAGTTTAAACTTTAATTGCTGAAGGAACTTCAGGTGCTTCAAATTAGATGTCAAGTGTCTTATATTCAGCCTTTTGTCCTTGGTTTCATCATCTAGGAAATGAGATCCTAGACTCGGAATTAAAAATGACTATCAGTTTCTAAGAACTGTGCAGGCAGGACAGAGTGCACATGTATACAGCTTGAGGGGCTTAAACCCTCTCAGCTTCTAAATGCATCAAAATGACAGGCCCTCCGCTTGACTCCCAGCCAGCCTAAGACTCCTTCCTAGAGTTGAGCTGGTCAGCAGGGAAGGGGAGACCTTGTGACATTCAGGGAAGGGAGAGAAGGGGAGTCCTCGTTCTGCAGGTGGAAGGGGCCCTGGAGTCAGAGGAAGAGGCTGTGAGTAGTAAGTGCTGCTAGGGTTTTCAGAGAGGTACAGTATTTGTCCATCAACATTTTCTTTTAACTGGTAGTTCAGCTTAAACACGTGACTTTGTCAATTGCAGTGGCAGATTTATTCACAGTCTCTTAGGGTTGTTCTGAGGATTCAAAAAATAATCTACCTAAAATACCTAGCACACCCCAGGTACCTAAGCAGAGCTCTGTGCTTACTAGTCTCCATGCTTTCAACTTCCCACTACAACCCTGGCCTGTTTTCAGAAGAGCAGGGGGCCATTGAACAGTTGACTTTCTTTGAATGTTTTTGTCCCTTCTGCATTCCGGGACTGTCACATCTTGGCTTTTGCTTACTCATTCTCCAAATATTCTCCTTATGAGGTGGAACAGAGGGATGGTAGAAGCAGCAGCTTGGTACTTTCATTTGGAATTCTGCTGGGCATTGTTCAGTATAATATACATTTTTTGAACTTATTTCATTGTTTTAAATCTATTTGCTATTCATTTTCTGCCTTTTAATATTTCAAAAAAGTGGGCCTCCCCGGTGGTGCAGAGGTTGAGCACTGGGTTGCGAAGCTGCCCGCAGCCTCTGCAGCGCCAGTTCTATCCCCGGCCGCCGGGTGAGGGTCCCACATGGCGCGCAGACCTCTCCTGCCACCTGCTGCTCCCCTCAGCAGTGTACTTCGTCAGTCTGCCTGTTCTGTTCCCCGCTATGGTGAATTCTCTCACCCTCCCGCGCTTCTGACTGTACCCAGTGCTTGTATGGATAAATAAATAAATCTTAAAAAAAAAAAATTTCAGAAAAGTTCTAGATCATTAAAACTATAGGTTGGGGGCATCCCCGGTGGCGCGGCAGTTGAGCACTGGGTTGCGAGGCTGCCCTCAGCCTCTGCAGCGCCGGTTTGATCCCCGGCTGCTGGACGAGGGTCCCATGTGGCATGCAGACCTCTCCTGCCGCCCGCTGCTCCCCTCAGCAGTGTATTTCGTTAGTCTGCCTGTTCTGTTCCCTGCTCTGGCTCTGGTGAATTCTCTCACCCTCCTGCGCTTCTGACTGTACCCAGTGCTTGTATAAATAAATAAGTAAATCTTTAAAAAACAAACAAACAAAAAAAAAACTATAGGTTGGGGCCTCCCCGGTGGCGCAGCGCTTTGAGCGCAGTGCTCTGAAGCTGTCCGCAGCCTCTGCAGTGCAGGTTCATTCCCAGCTGGCAATAGAGATTCCTATGTGGCATAGCAGAACCTTCCTGTCGCGCCCGCTGCTCCCCTCAGCAGTGCTTTCCGTCTGTCTGCCTGTTCTGCTCCCCATTCTGTCTCTGGTGAATCCTCTCACCCTCCCACGCCTCTGGCCTGTACCCGAGCTATTGTAAATAAAAAAATAAATCTTAAAAAAAAAAGCCCATAGGTTATAGGTCATTAAACTATGAAAATGATGCTTAGCTTTAGCATTCATGGACAGATTTTTGCCAGACCAAAGACAAGAGAATATAGGAAATATGGAAACTCTACTCAGGGGTACAAGAAAATTCTAGTTGCAATGTATAAAACACAACTGTAACTATGCAGTACCATTACAGTTAGCAAATTAGGAGCACAAATGTCTGAAAGATGTTCTTTGTCATTAGAGAAAGGCTGGGATTGGTATGTGTGCGAAGGTTTTCAGCATATACTTTGTCAACAAGCAGAAGCCTTAAAAAATCTTGGAGTACGCCCAGAATTAAAGGTAAGTGCACCTTTTTCTAAGCATTTGCTTTAGATTGTTATGGTTTAAAGAACGATAAGAGTTAAAGTGAAATTAAGGAGAAGATTCTCTGTAGTAACACTTTGATTACTGAAAGAATCACTTTTCCTGGAAATTTCACTTTAATCCTTTCGCTGGTCCAGTAATTCCTAAAGTATGTTATACCGATGTGAATGAACAATACTTCCATTGTTTCCAGAGGAAAATAAAAACGGTTTAGTCTTCAGATATTTAGGAAATAACTTAAACAAAGTAAAACAAATAAGTTTGGAGACTTCTTGATGACTTTTATGTGTTAATAATGTGCTTGCTTGATTTCCAAGGGAATGTAATATGCAGTGTTCACAATTTAAGAACAGAATCCTTCGGTGTGTGTATGTTTGAGGCACCTGTCAGGACTTGAGGGCCACAGATGCTCTGTGGCATTGGGGAGCGGACCTGGAGGCAGGGGTTCTCATGCTGCAGCTTATCAGCAGGTCACCTGGGCTTGTGAAGACGCACTGCTAGACCCCATGCCAGGGCCCTGATCACGAGGCCTGGAGCAGGCCCTGCAATGGGCACTTCTAACACGATCCCAGAGGATATTTGTGCTTCTGGCCATGCTTTGGCTTTGCTCTGCTCAGGAGAATTGTAGTGTCCCTGCTGTTGCTTGAATTCCCGAGTCCCTCATCTGGGTGAGGCAGGAATTCTTTTACAGGCCACTGTTTAACCCCAGGTGGTCGTGGCATACTTGCTTCATGCCCAGAGTTGGGGCGGGGGCGCCGAGAAGGCGAGGGCTTGTGTGTGCTTGGCGTGAGAAAGCCGGAAGTCATGCATGGACACACCTTGTTTTATTGTGCTGTGCTTTAGTGCACTGCACAGATAATTGCATTTTCTGTACCAGCAGAACGATTACAACTTGCTGAGGGCTCAGATGATGGTTAGCATTTTTTAGCAATAAAGTATTTTTAAATTAAGGCGTGTACTTGTTTTTTTAGCCATCGTGCTATTGCATATTTAATAGACTGTAATGTAAACTCTACTTTTATGTGCACTGGGAAACCAAACAATTCGTGTGACTCACTCTGTGGCGATGTTTGCTTTATTGCGGTGGTCTGGAACCAGACCCAGCACACCTCTGAGGTGTGCCTGTAACAATAGGCTCATAAGTGACATTCAGGCAGTCAGAGAGTGGGAGATCAACGTGCAGACATCATCCAGAAAAGATTTGTAGAGGAGCCTTTGCTATTCATACCAGTGTCTGGGAGCAAGCCCAAACCAGTGACCTCCAGACCAGCATGTAGCCTAAATGATCTGGGTCCAAAAAGTATTTTAGGACTTAAAAATCCAAAAACTGTCAGAGCCTTCCCCATGATCGTCATTGCGTAGGGTGGGATTATTGGTTGTCCGGAGCTTGGTGAATCTGGTCTCTCCCTGCGGAGTTCGCCTGTGTGTAAATCCTTTTATAAAGAGTTGCATATAGTTACAGCAGTAGCTGCAGTAGGGATTACTCCCTCCTGTGTAGCTTCCTACCCGCTTCATCAGGGGTGATCCTGAAAACATTTTCTCTGAATTTAGCTACTGAGCATATAACTTTGCAGCTGACTGGCTAAATGATGCAGCGAAGGCCTGCTGAGAACACAGCTTCCCAGCCCCATACCAATTCTGCATCCCGTTCGCAATTTTTCTGTTTACTGGCCCAGTTACGCAGTTTTGCAGTGGTAGAATGGAGCAAACAGCCGTCTTGCAGTATTGCGTTAGGCTAATGGCTGCCTCTTGATTGGTAGATGGTGACTAGATGGAAGAGCTGTTTTGTGTTACTCCTCTTGGACTGGGGTGGGGAGCAGGAGGTCAGCAGGTCAGTATCTGCCCCAGCTGGAAGTGTAGTCACTTCTACGTTCTTTCTCGGATTCCTGATTGAATTAACTTGCAAAACGAAGGGATCCAACTAGGTGATCTTTACAGAAATAATCTCTTCCTTTTTAAAATGTGAGACTGAAGAAGTTACTTAGTGTTTCTGATATCAGCGATATTGAAGTGGAAAATATCCGGCTGACCTGCTGATGAGCTGAGGTTGGGACTTAGCCTGCAGACTGAAAGTTTCAGGGAACAGCTGATAAATACCCTCAAGGCCACACACACCCAGATTCATGCATTCGCGGATGACTGTACCCCTCTTGCTCTAGTCAGTAAATACTCTGTCACCTCGTTGCTTGGGACTCAAACTTTGGAGAGCTCCTGTGAGCCCGTCGGTGTAAATAAAGACCTTCCCTCCTCGCTGAGTGCTGCCTGGTTCCCTGACAGAATCGTGCCATGACAATAAGTCTCCCTAAGGAAGAGCGGGGCAGAGAGGCGAGAAGGCCTTCTGTGGAAGGCGGCATGTAAAGCACAGAGATGCTTTGGTACAGATGCGCGGGGTATTTGTCATCATCACCCGAATCACCAGTCCTTTCCCTTCCACCTTAGAATGAAGTTTTACACAATTTTTGGAAGCGTTACCTTCAGAGGAGCAAGCAGGCATACTGTAAAAACTCGATTTACGCCAGGAGAAGGAAAGCTGTGGTAAGTTACAAGTCTGAGAAGTGGAAATAAAGGAATTTCTAGTGAGAGGTACACAGTGAAGCAGATGTGCAGCCTCGTCTAGGGTGATTGTGCGCACCAGAGGGTTTTCTGTGATTCTGGTCCAGAAGATCAGGATCTGACGGGGACGGTGGAATTAATTTCAACTTCTTGTTTGATGAGCAGAAACAAATTTGCGGTTACGTTCTAAATGAAAACCTAAGCAACTTTTGTCATTGTACTATTTTAAAAAATTCTTTTTTGCACATGGCATTCCTTTTGTATGGAATACCTAGTTACTTTATTTGGTATTTCAAGATTCAGCTAAGTTATTTTCTCTTTCAGAAGCCTTTACATGAAGAGAACCAAGTCTGGGTGTCTTACTCTACTCCCCACTCCCCACATTCAGCAGAGCAGCTATATTTTTAGTGATTAGTTTTTAACTGCTTTGTTAATGTGCTGTGGAACTTTTATTTTTGGGTAGGGAAGGACTTCACCTCTTAGAAAAGCAAGTTTGGCCAACTTTGTTGTGTTCCATGTGTGGTATTCTCTGGCCTGAGAAGAGATTCTAAACCTACCTGATGCACATTTGTTAGGAACTTGGAAACATGACCCAGTGATTCCTGGTTTGCTTGGGGGCTCATGGGTTCCACCCTCAGAGGTTAGTGACCCAGGGCTGGGTGCTAAGAATGAACAGTCCAGAGTAGCAAAATACTATGGTAAGTAAGAGGGGAAGTCTCCTAAGTGGTTAGTTTAGGAAATGTCTTTTTGAAGTGTGAGACAATGAATTTAAATAAACCCAAGAAAAATAACTTGAATTTATGGGAACATCAGAAGATGCTCTGGTTTCTAAGGTAATGCTTTGTTTTTTTGTTTAAAGAAAAAGAGGGCCTCCCAGGTGACCTAGGGGTTAAGTCTCAGTGCTAGCACCACCACGGCCTGAGTTCCATCCCCAGCCAGTTTGCTGACCCACACATTGTGCAACATACCTCTCCTGTGTCCCCACTGCTCCCCTCAGCAGTCTATTTCAGTAGATCTGCCTGTTCTGTTCCCCATTCTGTCGCTGGTGAAGCTTCTCACTCCCCCCTCCCCACACCTCTGGACTACACCCCAGTTCTTCTATGCAAAAATAGATTATATTAAAAAAGAGGGAAAGGAATAATTGAGACTTAAGAACTTACTATTTAAACTCACATGACTTATTGATTACATCTGTGCACAGGGAATTGCTCAGCATGTAGAAAATGAATCAGAACTTGGCATTCTCTCTGGTATTTTAATATTTTTAGGTTAAGATTAAAAAAAAGGTGTGGTCGACTTGAGTAAATATCTGTCTAAAGTAATGTTAGCATCACACTACAATCTTCTTGGTGAATAAATAAGCAAAATTTTAAACTGATATATAGATTGGTAAATATAATTTCTGATGAAAGAGTACGGCAGTATTCTATTTTGAAATGAGAAAGGAACAATTACTTTTAAATTGGAAGTTTAGTTTTCTCAAATAATCAGGTATTTTCTTTGTGTTTGGCTCTGTTCCAAGAAGAGTAAGGGGCCAGCATCACCCGTGATGACTATGATCCTGGGTGAAGTCCATTCCTTAACCCTAGGAAAGCAATCAAGTAAGCACAGATGTGAGTCAGGGTACTAGACAGATGTTGGGATGGCACGGAAGGTGCTGTTTGACAGGGAACAGTCGGGGAGGCCTCCCTGTTGAGAGGTTTAAGTAGTAAAGCAGCAAAAGAGTGAACCATGAGGATCCATAGGGGGAGAAATGACAATTCCAGCCTCACCTGCACCTACTGAAGCCGACTCGACATTTAACATAGTTCCCAGGTGCTTCCTAGACAAAAAAGTTTGAGAAGCATTCTGCTAGGTAGAAATAGTGGTGACTGGGACAGGTGCTGGGAATGGAAGTAAGTGGTAGGATTCTAGATGAAGTCAGGATGGAGCCCACAGAATTCCCTCATGGATTGGGCATGGGGTGATAGAGAAAGAGGGGAGTTGTCAGAATGACTGCAGGGTTTTGGCTTGAGTAGTAAATGGAAGGAGTTGTCACCACCTGAAATAACAGGTAGAGCAGGAAGGTCAGTAGTTCCGTTTTGGGCATTCTCAGCGAGGCAGCCACTGGACGTGCCAGGGGAGCTGCGTCCCTCGGACAGACAAGGGAGTCTGCGTTCCAGGGAGAGGTCGAGGCTGGAGCTGTGGATTTGGAAGCTGTCAGCTTACACTGTACTCATCAGATCTAAAATTCTGTTGTTTATAAGTCGCACTCTAAGAAAATAATGCTATAAATTAAGCTGTTGTGCCACTGGTTTTAAGACACAGCCTGATATCAGGGGTGTTAAAATGTGGGGAGAGGGCCTGCATTTTAGAACTGAAAGCAACGTAGTAGGTAGTGGTGCAAACCACAAGACCAGGTGACATCACTGAGGAGTGAAGACAGAAAAGACAACCAAGAACTGAGCGCTGGGTCAGGGCCATGTCTGAAGCATGTCAGAGGAGCCTGAGGAGCAAGTGGTGAGGTCGGAAGGCCCGAGAGTGAGGGGCATTCTGGGAACCAGGGAAGAGGGGGGTGATCACTTGTGAGAACTGCTGTCGCAGGGCCCAGAAGAAGGGGAACCCAACTGGGTGAGAGGAGCAGTGGGGTACCGGACCAGCTGAGAGGAGGGAAATCAGAGATGGCAAGTCTGGACAGCTCTGTCAAGGCATTTTGCTGCAAAGAGGCCCAGAGAAACTGTGTTGTGGCTAGAGTCAAGGAAGGTTTTTCCTAAGCGATAGGTGATAGCATATTCAGTGCAGAAGAGAGAAATAATGAGTGGAGGTGAGTGATGATCCTGAGTGGGGAGAGGGTGGGAGCAACTGCACATGGGGAACCTGGCTCTGAGCGGCGCCAGATTCCCCCACCAGGGGACCAGACAGGCAGAGGATGGGGTCAGCCAGTGGCAGGTGGCTGCTGTGTATGAACCGGTCAGTGTTTTCTTCTGGTTACTTCCACTTTCCCGCTGAGTCCATGCTCCTCAGCTTGCCCCATGGCCCCTGCTCCGCCTGTGTCTGCCCGCAGGGGATGTGCTTGGCCGCGGCCCCCGCCGCTCATCCCCCTCCCTCATTTTTTTGTTTCATTGTCTTAGGAGTTTCTGTAATGAATTGCATCTTTTATCTCCTCATAAAAAGACCAAGTTTCTTGGCCTGCATGACTGAGAGCCGTCATGTTTGACCGTGATGTCAACTACTGTGGCCCTTAGGTTGTCAGCCGGCTGGCCTTCTTCAGGACGTGCTGACTGCCGAGGCAACTGAACCGTGCTGTGAGGCAGAGGTCCCGTTAGTGCCCCTCGGGAGTTCTCAGAAAAGAGAAACCACTGAGGGAGAGGTGGCTGGTGGGGAAGATGGTGTGATAGAGTGAGTGGTAAGTCACAGAGGAGGAGAAAGGCCAGGCACGATTGATGGAACGGGCATAAGCGCCAGCGCACATTCCCGGTGGGTCCAGCGAGGAGAAGCCAGCTGGCCGTGGAGCCTGGCGGCACCTGGAGTTCTTACTGGTGGGGATACTGGAGCGGCGGAGGAGCTGCGCGGGAGGAGGCCTGTGCTTCCTCTGCCAGGGTCCTTGCTCACCCTCTCCGGCCCGTTTCCAGAAGCACTGGCGGGAGCTGCCAGGGAGCACGGTGTGGGAGAGAGCTTCAGGCAATTGGCAGAGGGTCGGTCGCAGTTCCCAGCAGTGGTTTCCTTTATGGTGTTTGCAATGGTCAGGAATTGTTTAATTTCGTGAAAATTGTTTTTAAAAAGTTTCTGTGCAATAATTTTATTTTGCCACTAGATCCTAGAAGACAGTCTCAGTCAGTCAGACTGGGAGAGCGAGCCTGAGCTGCTGAGTGACCTCAGCGGTCCTTCTCTTGTTGAAAGTGGAGCAGAGTCCCAGGCTGATGGCCCTGCTCGGAAGCCTTTCCCCAGCATTGGAGCATCGCACTCAGGTACAATGAGGATCAGCTTACCTAGAATTTTCAGGCTGGTGATGCATCCTGCAGATCAGCGAGCTCACTCGGGACATCCTCCCGGGACGCGTGCCTGGCCCGGTGAGGAAGAACGCCAGGCTGCGTCACGTTGCAGGAGACTAGAGAAGCAGATGAAAGCTTGCTGTAGTTTTTAAAAAGGTATCTTGTCTCCACATGAGTAATTTTGTGTGATTGTTAAACACTGCTAAGCAGTAAGTAGTCCAGAAAGGAGGCTGGTTCAGTCAGCATCGTTTACGCGTGGGCTCAGAATTGGCGAAAAAAAGTTGCAGCAGAGAAGTGCTAGAACTTAGCCATGTGGTAACAGATGAGAATCAAAAATGACACGCCCAGCGTGGTGGTGAGGGGGGTGTGTTTCTGATTTGCTTCTGCGTTTTAAGATAGTTAAGGAGTAGATTGGAAGTTGCAGATACACATCTTCTCGGTGACTCATGATTTGAGTGTTTTCACGCTATATATGTAGTTAAGCGATGGGGGGAAAGAGGCCTCCAAGAACAGACCGGGCTTTTATTAAGATTACTAAAACCTTTTTCTTTTAAGATGACTAAAATCTGAACATGTGCAGACAGTGCTTTGGGAGAGAGCTTCCAGACTCTCTAGTATTGGAGACTGTTGAAATCTGGATTAAGTGTGATTATATAAAATTTTCAACAGAACATTTCTTGTATGGATTGCTGTTTTGTAAGCCTGTTGCCCTCCAAAATTCCTGTTATCAGCATATCGGCATTTCTTGCTGAACTGCACAGCGACAGAGATAATCAGATAAGTTACTTTTTGTGTCCAAAGAACTGAAGAAGTTAAAATCATAGCATAGCCTGGCAGCAGTGAGTCTCTGAAACTCTCTTCTCCATGCTCTCAGGCAAGCCTGAACTCAAACAGTCCCAGCATCCCCTAACCTCCCTGGCCTTGTAAACCTTCGTGATCATTTAACTGTAATGAAGGGGTTCTGTTTGTATATTTGTGTTTTAGTAAATGGAGACCCTTAGAGCTTTATTTTAGTTTTTACATTAAAAGTAACTGTTAATCCAAAACTTGTTAATAAAACTGTAAAATGCAAATAGTGGTGAAGAAAATAAAATCATTAGTCATTGTGCCACCCAGAAGTAACCATTATTACAATAGTAAATCATTCCAGAAAGTTTTTCGTTTCAGTATATAGAGAAAGGGAAAGAGTTTTATTATTTTGCTTCTGCAAAAATGTGAGCTATTCTTCATTCTTTTAAATTTTTTAATCAAAATTCTACAGGCATGTAACTCAAATAGATGTATAGTTGTTATAAATAACAAGTTATAAAAGTAAAAACTAATGGCAGTCCACTATCCCTTCTAAACGTCCTTGTGTAAGAAGCATTCATATTCAGCTTTCGCAGCCTCCAAGGCTCTGTACCACACACTTCTTCAAGGAAGAGGTTTCCTTCAAGGCTTTAGTAAGCCTGAGTGCTGTTAAAGAATCGGGACTGAAAAGCTGATTGAATACTTGTTAGTGCTGCTCAGCGTGAGCAGAGGAGCCGGCTGGATTATTTTCTCAGTGAAACTCCAGAATTATCATCTTTTTATCATCTTTAAATCTTTTCCCCCTGAGCTGATGGGATTCTCCAGCGAGATGTCTTTGAGTCCCGTGTGGACGGCTGGGAGGATGTAACCCTGCCTGTGCTGCGATCTGGGTGGGAAGAAGGCCCAAGAGCCACGGGGCGGGGGTGGCCTCACTGCCCGACATGGAAGCTTCCCCAAATCCTCCTGCTTTCAGCAAGGCACCCCTCACACCTGTGTGTGTGACTGGCAGGTCCTGTTCCAGAGACTCTTTGTTTTACTCTTTCTAGAGGAGAAACTTCCAGTGTTTGCCAGGATTAGGGAGGGGCAGTCATTTGGCTGTGGGGAGCTGGAGTGGAGATCTGAGTGAGACTTCCAGGCAGTCCTCTTAGTGTCACACCTGTCTTCCCCTGGGTTCCAGGGGGACTTGGATTAACCAAGTCTCCAATTGCTGGGCCTTTCCTGGGGCAAGTCAGGTACATTTTTTGGCTTCTTTCCCTGTGTGCTGGCTTGGATGTCAGCTTTCTGTGCACAGTAGACCTGTGTTTTCCGGTTTTTAAGATCTTACTCCTGTGGTCTCCTTTTCCATGTTATTTGTTCTTAGGTTTATCTTTTTAAAATTCTATTATACTTGTAATGAGACAGAGCAGAAACTAATGTGTGTTTTCAACCTGCCATCTTAACATAAAATCCCTTCGTGCCATTTTATTTACATTTATTTATATAAGTAAAATGACACATAGGGATTTTCAGTGTGTGTGTATAATTTTTTAAAAATAACATTTTAGGGAAATCTGTGTCCTTAATATATTCTTTTTTTTTTTTTTTTTTAAAGATTTATTTATTTATTTATACAAGCACTGGGTACAGTCAGGAGCGCGGGAGGGTGAGAGAATTCACCAGAGCCAGAGCGGGGAGCAGAGCAGGCAGAAGGACCGAAGTACACTGCTGAGGGGAGCAGCGGGCGGCAGGAGAGGTCTGCTCGCCATGTGGGACCCTCCTCTGGTGGCCGGGGAGCAGCCGGGGATCGAACCGGCGCTGCAGAGGCTGCGGGCAGCTTCGCAACCCAGCGCTCAACCGCTGCGCCACCGGGGAGGCCCCCTGTCCTTAATATATTCTTTAAGAGCAGTGGTCTGCAAACTTCAGAATCTGTTAGGCTCACCCAGAGGACTGGCTGGTACACTGCACCGCTCGGAATAGGGAGGTGTGAGTTGAGGCCTGGGTCAAAGGAATTGCACATTTTTTGGTTTTGCTTTGTAATTATTCTTTTATTTACTTGAGAAATTGTTCTTGTTCACTCCAAAAGATTCAGGCAGGTCAAACCCCTCTTCAGAGTCCCAGCCCACCCCATTTCCAAACCAAACGTGACCTTTTGGACTGATTTCCTTCTAAAGTTATCATTGCTGGTTTTTTTGTTGTTGTTGTTTGTTTGTTTGTTTGTTTGTTTTGGGACCCTCGCTGGCAGCTGGGGAATGAACCGGCGGCGCTGCAGAGGCTGCGGGCAGCCTCGCACTCAGCTCTCAACCACTGCGCCACCAGGGGAGGCCCTATCATTGCTCTTTATTACCAGGTTGCTCTTTGTAAAGATCATATAACTTGTTGCCTCATTTTAAGATATTCCGAATGCCTCTGATTTTTTTGTGATTATTCTTTTGTTGTCCAAAATAATTACGTGCACTTTTTAAGTCTCCATTTATCCTCCCAGAAACGGCGTCCATCTGTTCCGGATCTCTTGATGGAGTCGAATATTCCCATCGAAAGGAGAAGGGGGTGGTGAAGATGAGCGTGCCGGGGACACTTGCCTTCTGCTTCCTGTCCTTACTTTGGCAGAGAGAGACGATGACGCTTTCAGACCTCTTGAGGTAAGCGGGACCTCTCGCGTGATGTTTTGCTGATTATCTGTGTGAACTAAGGGGCAGCGCTTTGGTTATTTTGAATTTTACGAGGAGGCTTACATTGAGGAGGGGTCTGGACAGACTGGGAAGCCTGGGCTAGTCATTCCTCTCCTTGGTTTCCTTATTTGCGTGCCGGAAATAATAGCGTGTGCCTTACTCAGGGTGTTGGGAAATCACCTGTCTAATTCGAGTGAAATGCTTGGAAGATGAAAAGTGACATATAAGTTCCTGAGTAGTGAATTCAGTGCTCCTGTTCCTGAGAGAGAAGATGAACAGGCGGCTGCCGTTGGCGGGGCCAGTGGTCCCCGCTGACCCTGCATCCATGGTTGTCAGGGCTGAGGACAGGATGTCTGCATTTACAGGTAAAATTGAAAGCAAAAGTATGGGAAGAACCTGCTATGTTGATAGTTAGCATTTGCGTTTTCAAGATAATCTGCAGGGTGCTATAGTTAATAAGTAAATTATGGCATTGTGGGGGAGAATTTCTCATTGAATAGATGTGCCAGAATTTAATGCGCTCGTTTCCCCCTGGCTTTGGATGTGTTTGAAGTGTTAGTATCTGGGCCTCGCCAGTGTGTAGTGTGGTTTTAAGAGCACAGATTTAGAACTGGACTCGCTCCTGGATTCAAATCCTAGCTCGGCCACTTTGATGGGTGTGACCTGGAGCAGGTTACCTCACTGTCCTCTGCCTCTGTTTCCTTGCTGGCAGATGCAGTTAGAGTAATACCTGCTTCGCGGAGTTGGAAGTCCTTTCAGTAATAAGCTCCATGTGAATAGTAGTTAGAACAGCGTGTGGCCCATATGAGCTCAGTGCTGGCTATTACTGGTTTTGTTGTCTTCATCATCATCATCATCACCGTCGTCATCGGCACTGGGCTGTTGATGAAATAAAATGGCTCCAGTAAGTGATGATAATGCCTTTGAATTTGACCACATCAACCAAGTAATAAGGCTTTTCTTGGATGTGATGAACTTGCGTGCAGATCGTCCGTGATTCAGCGAGCCTTACTATTAAGGGAAAAACCTCCTCTTGCTCTGTGTGCCTCGCCGGGTGAGCTCATCCTCTCCCGAGGCTTTAATTACTGTCTCTGTGATGATGACTCCCAAATTGACAGCTCCAGCCTGGACTTGTCCACTGAGAGCCAGACCCACATCCACAGCTGCCGGCCGGCCGCCTGAGGATGGCTTATGATACCTTGAGATCGGCGGGCCCAGAGGAGGCGCATCTCTTTCTCCTCCGGCCTGCCTGAGCATCAGTGTTTCCTTTCCTCTTAAGCACAGCGCCCCCTGTTACATCCTCTCCAGACACCTCGGGCTCCTCCTGGACTCTGTGCTCTCTCCGTGTGGTCAGTTGCTACCCCGGCAGTTACTTACACTACCGGAGTGACTCTCAGAAGCATCTTTGTCCTGTTCTGTGTCCTCACTCAGCGCAGCAGCGCCCCGGGCCAGTGCGGCGCCTGCAGTCTGCCCCCATCCACTCCTCCTGCTAACAGTAGTGCTGGACACAGGGTCCAGCCAGCCGACCGAGGGCAGTCTCTGAGGGGATAACAAAACTCTCCTGGAAATCTAAAAAGATGGAGAAAAAAAGATGTATCCAAAATCGTTCTCAGGGGAATGTTATATGTGAAGGAGTGAGATCCTCGACCTTTCTCTCTCTCTCTCTCCCTCGCTGCTGCCCTGTGCCTCCCTCTCTCCCTCCTGTCTCCCTTCCCCTCCCCTCAAGTGGAATTCTGAAGAACCTTCTTGGAGGTGGGATCTAGTTAGCTGGAGGGGTGTATCTTGCCCAGGCGTCATTGCCAGAGCACCAGGAGATGAGGCTATTCACCACTCGTCTTCTTTCTCTACCCTGACCCGCAGTAGCAGACTTCCCTGGAACTTGATCAAAGTGTAGACCACTGGACCCTGGGGATAGGGCCTAACAATCTCTGGTTTAATAAGCCCTCCAGGGGATTCTGATGGATGCTAAAGTTTAAGAACTACTAGTAAACTTTGAAAAATATGTGAAGAAATTGATTGGAAGGGAATTCATTATTAGCCTGGCCACAATAGCCGTAGATTTTATGCTGACCCTACATGGTGCCCTTTAACACATCCACAGTCCTTAGAATAAATTCAGTACCCTAATATATTCACTCCCCAAATATTATTGAAGGTGACTGCAGATGTTTTATGTCTAAACCCTTGAGATACAGTTGTGAACCATGTAGATCAAGGCCCTACTCTCATGAAGTTCAAGACCAGAGGAAGGACCTAGAGAGCAAGTCCATAAATGGGAATTGATCAAGGCAGGTGCTGTGCAGCGTGCTGGAGCAGCGGTGTGGAGGGGAAGGCTGGCGCCGCGTTAGGTGAAGGAAAGCCTCGCTGAGAAGGTGGGATTCCTGGAAGTGCGAAGAGCCAGCAGGTGACTATCAGGAGGGCGTGCCAGGTGGAGGGACCCTTAGAAGTAGGCCCATGCCCCGGGCAGTGGAGGGGCTCTGCGAGGAGGAGGAGGGCAGAGGTCATAGGCCGGGGCCAGATAAGGGCTTTGTCAGGTGCCTTAGGAGTTTGGATTTCTTTTAAAGTGAGATATAATCCATTTATAATAAAACTCGCCCTTTGAAAGGCGCACTTAGGTGATTTTGAATACATTCACAATGGTGAACCACCCTTACGGCTCTATTTCCAGGGCATATTCCTCAGTCCAAAAGGAAAGCCTGTACTCATTAGGAGTTCAGCTTTTAAGTGTGATAGTAAGCCCCTGGAAAAGTCTAGCAGGAACATTCAGGAAGCTATGAGGAAAATGGCTTTCCAGGGAGACCAGGTGGCCTTTTGCTGTACTTCACTCAGGAGAGAGCAGCCTCCATTAGGACACTGGTAACAGAAGTGGAACGAGGCGAAGCGGCTCCATACATGGGGTTCAGGAGACTATAGCCCTGACGCCAAGCTGCTTAAATTGTCTGTCATGAAGAGCCGGCTTACTAAACTCTCACCCTGGCACTGACTGACACAGAGCCCATGTGCACAGGGCACAGTGCAACTTCAGGGCACATGGGATACTTTTAGACTGTGCCAGCTCCCCCATCACCTTCCTGGATTGCCCCAGAGACCCACCTGATCATGCTTAAGATGGGAAGTAGATTGTTCAGAACTTTGACACCTACCTTTTGGGCAAGTATATATTTTAAAAAAGGAAATTCAAATTCAGAAAGAAAAAAGAACTTTGGAAAGAGGTGGAACAACATTCTTCATTGGGGAAAATTGTTAACCCAGATGCCGAAGACCCGCTCTGTGCAGCCTCCTCTGCTTCCCCAGTGGGTTTCTCCCCTTCCCTGGCTCCTGCAGCAGCCTCGGGGGCGTGGGGGGGCGCCAGTGTAGCTGTCTTTATTGACTCAGCTCCAAGCCCTCTGACTGGCTAGGGTCGCGGAGGTGGCATGGCTGGGGCAGCTTCACATCTTACTCACCTCAACTCCTGACTCCTCACCTGGGCCTCGCAGGTACTGTCACGGGGCGATGACGAAATACGGTGTGGACATAGTAACATCGGGGGACACTAGATAATATAAAGGTGATAAGCATTCAGTATGTCTGACATGCAAAATAATGGGAACCAAGAATATGGTTCCAAAATATATGAATCCTGATTACTGTGTACAAGTAATATTATATAGATTAAAGGAACAAATGAAAATTTAGCTGGGGGAGGCTTTCCCTATAAGGCTGCTCTAATTAACCCTGTTTTATCACTAAGTTTTATGAAACACCACTTTACATAAAATATTTACTTTAGTTCTCAACTTTCAGTTACCAAAACGTTAAAGAAATCACATTTTTCATTTAAAATTAAAGCTGAACCAATTGTCTGTAGCTAGAAAGCTGAAAGCAAACATCAGCTGAGCTCTGACTATAGCAGAGACAAAATATTTCGTGTCCTGACTTGGCTCTGCCTTTATCTTATTTTTCTACATGGTTTTCTGGTTTTCAGAGTCTAAGGTGTAGATGGTAAGACGCTGTTCCTCATTCTCTGTTCTTCTCTGCTACTGATTTCATTTATTTGTTCTATCTGCCATCTTTCACTTTTCACTAGAATGTAAATTCCCTGGGAACAAGATTTTTTCTGGGTCTTGTTCACTGCTGCATCCCTTTCTAGAGCAGTGCCACGCATATATACTAGTAAGCCTTGGTCAAACGAGTGAGTTTTAAGTAGCCTGTGTGTGTATTTGCTTCTGCAGCTATGTTGTTTTCTTTCTTTAAAAAAAAAAAGTTTTCTTTTTTTTCATTTTTTAATATTTATTATGCAAGAACTGGGGTATAGGCCAGAGGGTATAGGGAGGGTGAGAGAATTCACCAGAGACAGAGCAGGGAGCAGAACAAGTAGGCAGACCAAAGACACTGCTGAGGGTAGCAGCGGGCAAGACAGGAGAGGTCTGCCGCACCATGTGGGTATCTCCCAGGCTGGCCAGGAATCGAACCCTCACTGTAGAGGTTGTGGACAGCTTCACCATGCAGTGCTCATCCCGCTGCGCCACCAGGGAGGCTCTGCAGCTGTGTTATTTTCTTCAAGCTCATTAAGTCACTCAGAACATTTGCCCCCCTGCTGTGTAGCCACCTTGGGGTGGAGTGGTCAGTGAGGGCTGGCCCCTTCCCTCATGGCCAGAGGAGCAGCCAAGGAGCTAGTCTGACAGGGCTCAAGAGGGATCTCCCTGAAGAAATGAATTAAAAGGTGAGTAGAAGATCTTTCTGGTCAGAAACAGAAGACATCATTAGAAGATCGACTTGATGTTCTCCACACACCGCCACAGAATAATAAATATCTTCAGATTCCGTATCCTTAAAACTATGTGGGAGCTAGAATGGACTTAACTGATTCTCACTTGAGTGTGAAATACAACATTTTCAGAAGTTTTTACTTTGCTAAGTCAGTGCATGCCTCTCATGGAAACTTTTTTTTTAATAAAGATTTGTCGAAGAGGACCATATTCCTTACATAAAAGCTTTTGAGCATTTTCCAGAAGAGATGAAATTATATGGGCGTGACAAAGGAATCTTTGCCATAGAAGTAAGTTGTTTTCTTTCTTCTTTTGTTGTCACTACCGAGACACAAGAGTAGTATGGTGATTTATTTTCCTGGTCTGACTTAATATTTGGTGTTAGGAGTTTTTTTTAATGTTATCTAGGTTTTGTTTTATCCAAATTTGGAATATTAGTCATAATTTAATGAGAACTTGAAGTATTATTTTTTTGTTTTTCTTGTGTGACTTCTAATTCTTTAGGTTATCCTCAAAATTTAACTATAGTTTGATGTGTGGGCATTGCGAGTTAGGTGTATTATTGAGAGTAAACTTGAGATACCACTAGGTAACTCTAGCTTTTGAAAAAATATATGTATATTTTTTGTTACTTGTGCACACTCTTCCTTTGGAGAAAAGAGAAGAAAGGCATTACCATATTTTTAGTCCTTTTTGTGTTCATCTTTTTCTAGATCTGTTTCCCGATGTCTCTAATGGAAGGGCTTCTGTCCTTTAATTTTGAGTCAATCACTACTTAGAGTACTCAGAGGTTATCTTCCCTTTGTTCTTCATTAGCAGGTTTTCATTATTCAATAATTAGTAGGTATTAATTATTATTAAATATTATTCTCCACTTGCTCTCTTAAGGAACTGTTTTCATAGGCCTTCCTAACATTCACAAATTTTACATTGTTTGCAGTTTAATTCAAGAGACATTCGAGATCTATGCAAAGCTCCCTTGTGCTCAGTGTAGCTCTGCAACCCCACCCTTGCTTATGAGCAGCTGCCTCTGACAGGTCAAGTGGCTTGCCAAGGTCACGTCACAGCAGTGCTAGGCATAACTACAGTGCTTTAGGCCTGTTATTCATCGTGTCATCTCCTGCTCTGGTTGCCTGCTGCTCTGCCCTTGTGTTACCCTCGTTCTTCAAAACACTTGAACGGGCGCTATGAAGACTCCAACAGGGGTCCTGACACCACACTGCTAGGCAGCGCTTATTTTGAAGCCCTGAGCCAGAAGGAGATGATGGCTGGGACAGCAAGAAAGTAAGCTTGCAACACGCCCTTTTATAGACTACGTCCAAGGTGATTAAATATTTTTACCATTTTGCATTGAATTAAAACATTGGTTACTATGAATGTTGTAGAGAACATTTCCGTTTTTAAACCAGGAATGGCTCCTCCCAGAACCACTGGAGCAGGAGCAGTCCTGTAGGTTTAGAGAGGGGAAGGCCTGCTCGGAGGCAGTTCCCAGTGCTGCTTCCTCATGGTCCTCTCTCACACCCGGGGAGATAAGGCCAGTTCCAGACGTGCTTGCTCTCTCGGGTGACGCCCTCAGCACACGAGGCAGGACTTAGGGCTGTGGCTGACACTTAACCTGGAAAAACAAACAGAAATGATAGTGGTGGCAGCATAGACCATGTCCCCAGGCCTGTTGACACACTTTATAAACTCATATAGTTTTCACACCAACCCCGTATAGTAGTCGTTCTGTCTCCCCACTTTTACAGTTGAGGGAACTGAGACTCCAAGTGACTGGGTAACATGCCTGATTCTCTCTCCCTGAGCACAGTCAGCCCGGTCAAGGCGAGGTTTGGAGGGAGAGCCGAGGAAGGGACCATGTCAAGCCGTGAGACTGGGGTCAGGGGCAGGGCAGGTGTCTGGGGCTTAACCTGATTTCCCAGCCTGTCACCGCTCAAGTCATATTGATCACTTTTCCTTAACTGAAGTTATTTGTACTTTTTGCTCTTGCTTAAAATTATTACTTAATTGTCTTTAACTTTCAAGCCAAATTGTAAACTTCTCAGGGTGGGGCACTGCAGTCTTTTATAGAAAATGATGGAATGTTAAGGCTGGAGGGAAATTTAAAGCTCACTCATTCCACCTCAGTTATTTCTCCAATGAAGAAATAGGCCTAGAAAGAGATGTCACTTGGATATTAATGTACCTGCATTTGATCAAGGCCATCCTGAGGTTGAGATGAGACAATTTGTTCAAAATGCAGGCCTGTGGCAGGCATTAAGGTGGTAGTAGTCTCCCTTTTAGGCCCCGGGACGGAAAGCTTGTCCTCTTAGGTGGGGGTAAGAGAGGAATCAGGCTGCTTGGAGAGACACAAAGTACGTTTCTGGAAAATAACATTTTCATTTTAAGCTTCTATTTTTTTTTTAAGATTTATTCATTCATTCATTCATTTATTTATATAGGCACTGGGTACAGTCAGAGTGCAGGAGGGTGAGAAAATTCACCAGAGCCAGAGCAGGGAACAGAATAGGCAGACTGACGAAATACACTGCTGAGGGGAGCAGCGGGCGAGACGAGAGGTTTGTCGCACCATGTGGGACCCTCGCTGGCGGCCGGAGATCGAACCGGCGCCGCAGAGGCCGCAGGCAGCTCCGCAGCCCAGTGCTCAACTGCTGCGCCACGAGGGGAGGCCCTTTAAGCTTCTATTTTTTGTGTGCCCATTTCTAATTTTTTCCAAAGTAGATTCCAGGAAGTGATGGACATCACTCACTTTTCATGAGGATTTTATAATTTTGGTTGCTTCATGCAAAGGATAGTGCTTCTTTGGCTGACTTTATGTGCTCGGGACTGGTATCTAGCCAGCAATTTCCTTTGCAGTTAAGAAATTTGGTTGCACTTTATATATGCTACAAGACACTCAGATTTTAATCTAGGAAAATAATTATTAAAAAGAAAATTATTCCTTGTGCCTTTCCGTGATTGCCAGGTGTTTAAGTTACTGCAAGAATGACATTTCATGCACCGCTGGCGTGGCCACATTTCCCAGAAGCCTGTCCTGAAGCCTATAGTTAAGATTTGCACTGCCCTCCAATGGGCGGTGTGTGAGCCGTGCTTGCGGACAAAATTGAGAACTCCAAGCTATTTTTTTAAAAAGTTCAAGTTTTCTGTCTGAAATATTATGTTCCTGTTATTTTATCAAATCTAAACTGGCTTTTGCCCCTCCTAATTTTTGCAATTTGAGACTTAAGTTTTGTAAATTAAGACAGGAAGTGGGTTGCATTATGTTTGCTTGTTTGTTTTATTTTTGCTCTGAAACCATTCAGATACTGATTTTTATTCATCCATTTTTACTGAGGGAGGAGTATTGAAATTTCCAGCTGTGATTACAACTCTTTCTTTCATGTTCAATCAGTTTTTGTATTTTGGAGCTCTGACACTAGGTCCATAACATGTATATACTTTGTCTTGTTGGTGAATTAAACTCCTTCATCAGTATGTAATATTCTCCTTTCTCCTCAGTAATATATATTATGCTGACATCTACTTTGTCAGATATTAATATAAGCACTCCAACTTTCATAGAATTATTTGCATGATATATCTTTTTTCCAATTTTTTATTAAACCTGTGTTTTTATATTTAAAGTGGGTTTCTAGTAGGGAATATCAAGTTTAGCCTTGATTTTTTTAATCCAGTCAGATAATCTTTGCCTTTTAATTAGAGTTTATGGACCATTTACATTTAATGTACTTATAAATATGGTTGGGTTTAAATCTACCAGCTTGCTGTTATTCATATCTTAATTCTTTATTTCCTCTTTTTTTGCTTTCTCTCAAATTAAGGTATTTTTGTGATTTCAATTTATCTCTAGTACTTATTTATTAACTATGCCTGTATTTTTAAAGAGGTTGTGCTAGAGTTTACAATATCCATCTTTAATTGTCAGACTACCACAAATAACATCCCAGTTACGAAAATACACTTCCACTTCCTCCTCCTGTTCTTTAGTGTCTGACATTTACTTTGTAATTTACTAAACCCCATGATGCATTGGGATTATTTTTGCTTTAAACTCATTTATCTTTTCAAAAATTTAAAACTCATTTATCTTTTCAAGAAATTAAAATGAGGGCCTCCCCAGTGGTGCAGCGGTTGAGCGCTGGGTTGTGAAGCTGCCTGTGGCCTCGATAGCGCCGGTTCAATCCCCGGCTGCTCCCGGGCCACCGGAGGAGGGTCCCACATGGCGCGCAGACCTCTCCTGCCGCCCGCTGCTCCCCTCAGCAGTGTACTTCGGTCCTTCTGCCTGCTCTGCTCCCTGCTCTGGCTCTGGTGAATCCTCTCACCCTCCCGTGCTTCTGACTGTACCCAGTGCTTGTATAAACAAAAACCAACAAACAAACAAATAAATAAAACATGCCTCAAAAAAAAAAAAAAAAAAAAAAAGAAATTCCCTTATTAGCTTAAAAAAAAAAAGAAATTAAAATGAGAATAACTATTATATATCTATCTATACAATTGCCATTTATGGTGTTTTTCCTGCTTGAAAAAATGTCCTTTAACCTCACTGGTACTGTAGATCAGCTGGCAGTGAATTCTTTTGCCATCTCTTGGTCAAAAGTGGATTTTGATTTCATTTTCATATCACTTTTTTCAGAAGTATAGAATTCTGGGTTCTTCCTTTTCTTTCAGCACTTTAAAGATCTTTCATTTTCTTTAAGCCTGATTTATTTTTTGTAGTATAATTGACAAAGTTGTAAGATGTTTGAAATATAAGTTGCGGTGATTTGATAGATTTATTCATTGTGATAGGATTCCTCCATCAAGTTGACATGTCTGTCACCTCATGTTTTATCATTTGTTTCTTTTTTAGTAAGAACATTTAAATTCTACTCTTAACAGATTTCACTTATACAACCCTATCACCTGCAGTCACCATGCGTTACAGTAGCTTCTCAGACTGTGTCCTGTGAAAGTTTGTACCCTTTTACCAGCCTGTGTCTGTTTGCCTTGCCCACCCCATTCTGCCCCCAGCCTCTTCACCTTTCTACAAACTGTTTCTTAGTTATCCCCGCCCCGCTTTTTTTTTTTTTTTTTTTAAAGATTCCACATATAAAGGACTCCATGCAGTATTTGCTTACCTTATTGGTTTATTTCACTTAGCATAATGTCCTCAAGGGCCATCCAAGTTGTCCCAAGTGACAGGATTTCCTTCTTTCCCTTGGCTGATTGACATTCCTCTGTGTGTGTGTGTGTATGTGTGTGTGTGTGTGTGTGTGTGTGTGTGTGTGTAATCTCTATCCATTCATCTGCC